CCGTTTCTGCCCTCATAACAGCAAATAAGCTAGAAACCACAGGGAATGAGAGCAAGCAGAACAAGCTAGATAGACCGTACTAAAGAGACAATCAGAAGGTAAGAATTATGCGTGAGTGAGGAGGACAGATTTCAGTGGTCACTAGGGGTGTGAATTACTATCTGATATCCATTCATGGAGTGACAATACAATACCAAAATTATTCAGCATTTAAGGCCCGTCGATCATTTTCATCTGGCCTGAGGGAAGAGTACGCGCAGGTCGCACATCTTGAATTATTTTTGCACTAATTAGTTTGTCCCTTTTTGGTGCCCTTTTATTATTTTTCAGACAAAGTACTGCACATTTGTTTGTGAAATTGAAATATGTCAAATAACTAAACTAAATAAAAAAATGTAAAACAAATCCCAAATAAAATAAATTAATAATACAAATAAAATAAATCTCTTCATATAAACAAACTAAATGCCTGTGCTTTTTCCATTTATAATGAGAGGCAACCACTGCATTTTAGATCCAAACTAGGGCTGCACGATAAATCGAAATGGAATCGAAATCGCGATTTGACAGAAGCTGCGATTGTCACGCGTATCTTTCAGTGAAGCACGGTTCTGTGATCAGCAGTAAATCTCCATCCGAAGGCCAGAGGGCGCTCTCGCGCTGAAACTCCAAATACGCCTCGCAGAAGAAACCCAGAAAATGCCTATAGCGGTAGCTGGATAAACAGAAGATTTAACTGGTTTTATTGATTCAACGTGACTAATAAACACACGATTATGACAATATATGGTTTATCGGAGTTATTATTATTATAATTTTCATTCAAATAAAGTATATTTATAATGCAATGCCTTTATCACTGCTTAAATACTATGAAATATGTTGCGTGCCTTATTCTGTGTGAGAAGCCACATCATCTCACAGAAGGATTTATTTCAAACACTCGACTGACGTTATGAAGTGAGTTTGGAGTAAAAACATGTTATTAAATGTGGTATTTTCACATGTTTTCAGATGGCGCAGCATTTACTTCACAGAGCCGTAGTTCACTGAGAAGCTATGCAAACAGCTGTCATTATCGCGAACGATTTCTTCGATTTCATAATCGCGCAATAAAATCTTCTGCGATTTATTTTTTCGTAACTTGTCAGTGAACTACGGCTCTGTGTAGTAAATGCTGCTCCATCTGAAAGCA